CAAAATGAACTGGAGTCCACATGCAGGTCAAAGCGTCATAGGATAGAGAAAAAGAAAAAAGAAGCTGCTTTCATCAGAAGCCAGATATCAAAACAGATGGCCTCGTGCACTAGTAAGCCTGGGTCTTCAAATGAGAACTCGGTAGACGGCTTTGTCCTAGTTCTGGAGACAACTCCCAAAATCTATGAGAACATGTCTTTATGTCTGAACTCCTTGAAGTTGCTGAAGATCCTAACCCGTAGACAGATTATCATGAAGATAGCCCCCGACGGGGTCAACTGTCTGTGTTTCTTTTTTGTCAGTAAGAACATCTAATTTTTTGCAGTTATTATTGTACCGCTCGGATTTATTTTCATGTAGTTTTATCAAATGTTTGAGTTGGCTATTTTTTTTGTGAGAGAAACTATTTTTCATTCTATATTTATTTCTTTTTATTGTACGCTTTGTGATTTCACTTTTGATATTTTTTTTAATGCGATAAGTCACATTTATTGCCTGTACAGAGTAGTTCTTAAGCATAGAATCGCAAAAGAGAGGCGCGGAAGAAAAATTGCGACCGCAGTTTGTATGTTATATGAGTACTACAACTCATAAGTTGATCGAATTTCTTGCAAGACGTCTACTTACATTGGTGATGAATGATTTGGGGAGCTACTACAACGATACTGTACAAGATTCAGCAACATGTTTTGTATGACAACCTATATTTATGAATTTGTTTGATGAACTACATAGGAACCATGGATTTCATGAGTCCTCGAGAATGGAAACCATAAATGTATTAGTAATTACCCTCCAGATTTTATCACATAATGAATCAATGAGAAGAACGATGAAGCGATTTCAACATTCATCTGAGACTATCAACAGATATTTCACAGTGGGGTTGAAGGCTTTTATTAGTTTGTCAGCACAAATTATTAAATCAGAGGATCCAACATCCGAGAGAACTCCAACAAAGGTTTTAAATGACCCGTGTTACATGTCATTCTTTAAGGTATATATTTTGCACTCAATAAATTCATAAGTGAAATTGATTAGTGTGGTTATCATATCTTTTTTAAAATTTTCAGAACTGTATTGAAGCGATCGATGGAACACACGTGGATGCACACACACGATGATGCACGTGTGTCCATTAATGAGAAGATTGATGTGGATCACCGACACAGAATGTGATAGTCGTATGTAATTTCAACGTGTGTTTTACTTTTGTAATGGCTAGTTTGGAAGACAGTACACATGACAGTCGTATTTTTGCATCTGCGACAAGAAATAGAAAATACAACTTCCATCACCCACCCTCTAAGTTCGCTCAGATTTGAATCATATTCATATTTTTTAAGTCCATCACAAATTATTGTTTTGTGGAACATATAAATATAATTTAGTGATGCTAGGTGTCTTACAAAGGGGTATATGAAGTATCACGTCCGATTTCGAAAGATTCAACGGTGTTGCTCGAGGCAGGAAGAAAATGTTTAACAAAATGCACTCCTTATGCAACGTAATTGAAAGAATACTCGGAGTGTGAAAGAAAAAATGGGTTATATTGTGTGATATGCAGACGTATCCATTCCGAAACAAGTGCAGATTGTAATGACTACAATGACTCTCCATAACTACATTCGATGCATCATTCTCGAGCTGATGTATACTTCAACATGGCTGACGATGACCACTTAAAAGTTCCATCGGAAGCTTTTGAATATCACGTAGGACAATCTATACCACAACCAGAAATGGAATCACAGGAAGGCTACACCCAAGATGGCGAAAGTGCCGCGAAAATGGTTGAATTGAGAGAGCAGTTTACAGACGACATTGTTGGATGTTGATTGAACTTTTTTGTTTATTTTATAGTCTGTGTTTATTTTATGTTACATGTATTATTGATATTTTATTTTGTAATTTTCATGTTATTTGTTTTTTTTTCTTTTTCTTTTTTTTGGTAGGCTTGTGAGGTTCATGATAAGACGTTTGACATTGTGGGTTCTTCTGGATGGCCTGTTAGTCGTTGTATGGTTTGTATCACATGTGAAATCCTGATGAGGGCAACCAAGTATCTGCTTTCTTTTCGATGCGGCAGTTTTTGAGGTACTTCTAGGTGACTATTTTTTGTGATAAACATATGTAACACACACGAGTTTGATATTATGTGAATTGAAGTCAACCAAGAACCTCTATTTTATAAGGTTTGTTTTCTTCTTGTAGTGACATAATCGTTGGTTGGTGTACTGAGTTTTTTGAGATCTCGCGTCCACATAAAATTGTAATTGATTAACGTTTTTATCAATTTATACTTCTATTATCACTATTCGATTGTCTTTTGAAGCATTGAGAAATGATGAGATCTAGGATTTCAGGAACCTCTCAACGATTGCTCTGCTACTGCGGATTTTAGACTTCCTTACTAACGTCAAGTCAACCACATAGTAGTTCTACAGATGCCCGCAACTAATCATAGAGAACTGTGACTTCTTCCGGCGGACAGATAGGCTCGAACAATCAACTTCTGAGAGTGACCAGGGGTGCAGACTATCCCTCATACGCAGTCTCCACTTTAAAATTAATATTATCATATTATTAAATATTATTTTAATATTTTTTCTTATTGTAATAATCATGATACTCATTGTCAAGTGAGGTGTATATCTTATTTTTTTATAATGTTCTTAAGTGAAATTTTGTTTTTCAACTATCAAATATATTGATATGCAGTTTTATTGTAAACAACATTACTGTACGGGCAGAATTGTCATTTATCCAAAAACAGCTGCAAAACAGTTGTTTCTCAACAGCGCAAACCAAATTATCAGTCAGCTTATCTGGATCAGTTGTTGCGCAGCGAATCACAGAAAACTATGACTTCTTCCGGTAAGCAGATAGGCTCGAAGAATCAACTGTCGAGAGTGACCAAGGGTGCAGACTATCCTCATACACAGTATTCACTTTAAAATTAATATTATCATATTATTAAATATTTTTAATAGTTCTTTTCCCTTATTATAACAATAATGATACTCATTGTTAAGTGAGATGTACATCTTATTTTTTGTAATATTCTTAACTGAATTTTTGTTTCAAATATCAAATATATTGCAATGACAGTTCTGTTGCAAACAACATTACTGCACAAAGACAGAATAGTTATTTATCCAGAAACAATTGCAGAATAGTTGTTTTCCAACAGCGCAAACCAAACAACCAGTCAGTTTATCTGGTTCAACGATTGCACAACATATATTCTGCTGCAGCTGCTCATCAGCAAATTAATAATAAATTTCAGCTACTACACAGTGACCCTTCATTATCTTCTCACTTCCTTCTCTTCTCTGTCTTAGCAGATTTTCTCACCATAATGAGGCAATCTTCTTTATTTTAATTACAGCTAGCTTGACTTGTTTGTCCACTGGTACGTCCTTATATTAGAAGATTCGTTCGACTGATTGCAGTCGGTCAATAAACTCATCGGGGTCCATGCCTCCCTCAAACTCTGGGAGGTCCATCTTGATGTTAAATCCCTCTGAGCTCCAGAAGGGGACTCTTCTCTTGACCTCCTTTAATATCGGACATCAAAATGATGCGGCCGATATTCTTCGTCGTTGTAACCTTTCTTGTGGAACGGATTGAGATCCTCCTCTGTCTTCCCCATGACTCCCTCGATCACAATCGAACGTAATCTCTTCTTGGTTCCAGCCATCTAACTCGGCTAGTCTCTGTTGCAGACGACAAATTTCATGTTGGATCTCTTACCGAGTAGGGTCTGATATATCTCTCCGCGGTGGCATGGCTATAGAGTTGGGGATTGGAAGAAAAAAAAAATCATGTAGGTGAATTGGGCATAGGCGAATGTTGAGGAACCCTAAGATAGGACTAGGGTTATGCTAGTTCTGATATCAAATGATATTGAAACTAGTAGGAAGAACAGTGAAACATGAAGGCAAACTTTTATTAATGTAAAAATAGAATTACAACACAAGTAAAAAAGAAATACAACAATATACGAATTCCCGGTTATGGGTGAAATAATGTCTGAAGGTGATGGTGTGTCGGCAGGGTGATAGAGCAAGATGAGAGATGTTAGGGGTTGATTGGGTAGTTGTGATGGTGTTTGGATGGTTGTGGGTGGGTAAGACAATAAGGTTGTAGGAGTAATATGAGTGGCGGACTGGCGGTATAGTGGACGCTTATGGGGGTGGTGTTCGGTTAGGGGAGGTAGAAAAAGGGATCAGTGAGAAAGGCAAAGGAGATTGGAAGTTTAGAACACCGATACAGCCGAAGCACCACCTGTCGTCGAATACAACATTAACAAGAGCGAAAAGACTCCACATACGAGATTAGAAGACAACTCTACTAGAACTACCTCTTACACACAAGAGACGGCTATTTATAGCCTTCAACTTCACCACAAAAGGAAAGGGTTGGAAAAGAAAAGAAGAATCCAGAGAAAAGAAAACACTTATAAGAAGGCATTGTGGAATATTTGTGAGACAGCCTCACTGGATCGTGAAAGACCGCTGTCTCCTCCTGCCTTCGTGCGTGACCACAAATGATCGCGGATTCTAGACCGCGGGATCGTGGCTCACAATTCTTTGTGAGGGATCACGGCTCCCGTGAAGTGTCGCAGGGTTCTGGCCCCAACGGGATCGCCCCCGCTTTAGGGCGCATATAGCTCACATGTCATAATTTCTCATGTAGGTTAAGCTTCCTAGAATTCAATTGCTTGCAACTGCAAAAGCTACTATGACCAGCTATTGGTCAGCATGTAACAATGTTAAAATATGCTTTAAAAAATAACTAGAAATTGCAACTGCGTAGATCCATTTGTGGAATGCAGCTATGAACTATTTCAAACCATATATCACATGGCAGAAAATGCAACAAGGCTGTATAACTCATTAAGCGAGAACCAATTTGCAGAGATGAAACGAACCTCAAATACAAGGAAACTATATTCAAAGTAAAGTGCACCACCTTTCATATAAAAACCTCAGTACCTTGAGTTGTGCCTGCTTGCTCGTGACGTTTGATCAAAGAAAATGATCCACCTTCACTGACAGCCTTCTGACTTTGCACATCATTTGCAAACTGCCCGTCACTTTGCTTAGCCAATTCTTTAACATTTTCTAAGCCAACATGCTCATGTGCATGAATGTCGCTCAATTTGGAATCCTTCATGGAGGCGCCATGATGAACTTTCCAAAACTCCTCAGTACCAGCATCTACCAATTCGCCCAATGTAAATGGCAAAGGATCCCCCATTGCAATGATTATTCCAGCTTGGGCCACAGCCTCTGCAGCCAATTCTGCAGCTTTCACTATAGCATCCAAATTCTCTGCTTGTTTTGTGGCAACAGAAGCTGATTCAATTCTTCTTTTGGCAGCCTCACGTGCAGCAGACATAACTTCAACTGATTCGTGGATCTTGTCCATTCCTTTCAAAATTGAAATGGGAGTTAACGCTGCTAATTTTTTTCCAACATCAAGGGAGCCAGATTCTGGACTCTGGACAACCTTACTTGTTTTTGCTGCACTAATAGCTTCATCAGACATTATTTTGGCTTGCCAAGCAACATCAGATGCAACTTTAGCTGCAGCTGCAGCTGCCTTTGCAACAGAAGCAGCCCCAGCCGCAGCAACAGCGGCAGAAGCAAGTTTTTCCTCAATCTGCGAAACCAATCCAGAATTCTTCTGGGCGGCTAGCTGACTCCATATGGCTTGACAATGCTTGATAGAAGAAGCTGCAGCAGCAGCAGCATCTTCTGCACGGAGCTTAGCAAGCTCAACTTTGCTGCAAGTCTCCTCTAATAAGTTCGCCTTACGTTGATTATTATTCTCACCAAATATCTGGTGATGAGTTGGAGAAATCAAGTGTGACATACTAATCGAAACAGGGGCACCACTAGCAACCTTTACTGGTGAGTTAGAAGACAGTAGCGTGTTTGCAGATGGCAGTGGAAGACTTTCAATACCGAGAATAGGAATGGACTCTATTGAAGTTTGTGAAACAGGTAAATTTAGCTCCTCTGCCTCCAAACCTTTTCAACTTTCCAGCCTTCAAAAAAGATTTTGATGTATGCTTATTGCTCCCACTGTTTCCTCTCTTTTTGGTAGTTTCCAACTGAATGACTGCATCAGTAGTGGTGGATTTAAGATCTGTCACAGACATCAAAACAGTAGGGGATGCAACTTGTGTGGGAATATGAGGTCCACACAAATCACTCGCACATGTCGCATGCATAGTTTCAGTAAAAGGTGCTGCAGAAAAATGTTTTATGCCATCAAGGGCGGAACTGTGAGAAGAAACAAACCAAGGTCCAGGATGAGATGCCTGTGGAAACCAAGAAGGACTAGCATCCAAATGTTGTCTTAACTGTGCAGGTCGCCAAGGAGACAATGGAGAAGCAGTCTGATTGAAGTTCAGGCATGCACCCCTGGGCATGCTGCCGTGCTGTCCATTTCCATAAGAGAGACTCCACAAAGGCGATGGTAAAGGCACAGTTGAATTTAGCACAGCTGAGGACATAATCTTGCTAGAGCCTTTGGCAGTAGAAGATCCAGGAACTTTGCTTTGAACATTTGTACCTGCTGAAACTTTTCAAGGACCATACTGCTAAATAAACTTTACAAGTAAACGGAACAAAACAAATAATGCAACTGCAATGAAACCAGAGATACATACCTGACCGAGAATGTGAAGGAGTCTCATAACCACTGATGGGAGATTTCTGATTCTGAAACTTTGTAATCAAAGCTTGCCATATACCCTCCCATAATCTCCGTCCACCATCTGCCCAGCACCACATCAAAGATGTAAATAAAAACAGAGTTGGAATAGCAGGAAAAGAGACCCCAAATGGTTGGGATAAGAGAAATGAGGAGAAAAGGTGTAGATATCAACCAGCATCTCCAAAGGCAGACACCATATAAGCTTCATCTGGAGGAATCCCTGAGCTGTGGCAAAAACACAACAAAATTCAGTTTAACTGTAAACGACTAACATTGTAAGACCCTTAGAATGCTTCAACATACATTAGAGCTCCATAAACAAAGATTTGGGCACGTAATTGTACTTGCTGTAGATCTGTGAAAGACTGTTGAAATAATGTTGAGGATGAATTCAAATCAGGAATACTAGATGTCTGACCAACCAAAGAGGAGGATGTTTTTATAGCACAACACTCAATAGAGGGATTCTCTCGCAAGTCAACCAATGGCAACTCCTTGCCAGACGGTCCTACATATTTTTGTTGGCTAGGGGAATATTTAGCATCCATTTCAGAAGACTGCTTCAAAGCTGCGGCTTCTTTTTTTGTTCTCTCTCTTGAGCCAGTTTTCTTTTCTTTATAAAGCGTATATGCATTCTTAGTTTTTCCCTTATTAGACTTTTTAGCAGAAATAACAGGAGCTTTAACTTTATCCAAAAATCCTTGAGGATTCTCTTTCAGCATCTTGAAATAATAGCAAATTGTTTCAGTCACAAGTAAGCATAGAACAACCGATGGAGCTAAAAAACAAGGGAAGAAATTACCTGAGGAATATCATTCGACTGTAAACTGGGTAAAGATTTCTGCTCACTGCCAACACCTCTTTCAGGCAAATGCCCAGATGTTGATACCTCAAAAGTGAAGTTTCTGACTTCAACAGGCGTAGTATGTGCCTCTAAATCATTACCACTGCATTCAAGTTTTTGAGCAGTCTCATCTTTTGAAGAAGATATCATATTCAAGTTACCTGAAGCAACCAAACTATTTTCTAGCTGTGAAACCTCAACTTCTGGATGCTCTAAATTGTCCTGAGGGCATTCTCTGAAACAATCAGACAAACTCAGGTTTCCACTTTGTTTTTCTGATGGGTTGGATTCAACAGTGCTGGCAATGCAGATTGGAGAAGAGTCATTTGTGCGTATAATCGAAACATTATCTGCAACTAAAAAAAAACTGCATCAATTAACAGCTAAATAAAAATTGGAGAGTATCACCACGGATGCTGCCAGAACAACTAGACCAATAAAATACAGTCACTTCATATTATTACAATATAATCAGCATAATTCAGCAAAAAAATCACATTTATTAACAGTTCATGTTACATATTTCTGTCATGACAACTTAATGGCAAGATAGAACAGTCAGCAGCACAGATGGCTGGAAGCCTTCGACAAAAACTAAATTCCTCATAAACAAGTTGAATCCACAACTCAAACCTTCTAAACTCATGTAAACTTCATAAACAATTGATCAGAAAATAATTCTATTAAAATCTTGCCACTTCCAAAGTTGTCTACTGGTTAATGATTAATAAATCTCTCTTTTAGCAAAAATGAGGGATGTTGTTAAAGAAGTTATAGGTAAAAATCAAACCTTCTAATCAATACTCTCGAGAATTCAAGGAAACTCCACTAGGTCTCCTGACTAATAAAAAGACATATAATAAGCATGCAAATGAAATCTGAAACTCTTTGAACTTCAAATAAAGGTAAGAGATCAAGCAAGACATATAAACATGTGAAGCCAACTATAATTTAAATACATCAGCAGCAAACAATAAAGACAATATGTCCAAAGTGCAAGGAGAATGAATTAAGATTCATCAGCCAACAGCAAATAAATTAAATTAAGGCCAATCATGATAATGATGAGATAAGCAAAAAACAACCAACCTTCTGTTTGAGCAGACATATTCTTCCCTTCTGAGAAATCTGCTGCAGAGAAATTGCATTGATCATTTTGCTCATTGCTTGGGTATTTACAAGAGCAGCTATCTTGTATGGATGAACCAAAATGCCCTGCTTGTTTTCCACCACTAAAAGAAGTATGAGCTAGAACAAACAAAATTGAAGAAAACACAGTCAGTTTCTTTCATAATTATTTTATCAAGTTATTACATCCTTAAAAAACAATAGGAAACATAGATAGCACATAACATGTGTCTATTATCTCGAACAGAGAAAGAAATAAGCTTATAAAAGCACATTTCCTTAACAAGCAAGAAGAAAGAGTGACAATAATAAGAAGAACAATGAAATTTAATTACCTTGAAAAACTGAGGTTTCATTCCTCCCTTTTGAGAAAACATCCAGTGACCCAACAGCATTATCAATTCCTTCTCCAGAACCACGAGAATCAGCTCCCTCCAGGTGAGCAGACTCCCCATTTCTAACTGCGTCTACTGCTGAAGATGGAACCTCATTCTGAACTAGTTGAAAATCAATACTTTTCACGGGAGATAGTGACTGCACTACAGCACTAGCTTCATTTTTTGTTGAAATATTCACTAAAGCATCTTGAACACAATCAGAAACTTTATCTGCCCCATTCTCTGTCTCCATATCTACACCATTGCTAGAATTGGTTAGCTTAGAACTTCTAGAGACCTTCACTTCATTTTCTTTAGAAACTAGCAAATCTGGCACAGTTGAGCATGATGATGACTCTTCTTTCTGTTCCAAGGCTAAATTGAAGGAAGCAATACTTGTTGGCAGCGGTGTAGAACTTGATTTGACTGGGAAATCCAACTTAGTTGCTACTAGAATAAAACAATAGTATCAAAATATCAATATATAAACTGAATAATCGAAGTGATTACTTGTGAAAATCATCACCACCCATATGAAGGAAAAGATAACTGGTAGCAGCCATAATCACCTGAATTATCTGGCGAAAATTTTCCAGGTGAAGTGTCTTCCATGTTTAATGAATGAGACGCTGATTCTGGGTCACTGGCCTTTTTGGAGACCAAATCAATAACAGGAAATGATGAAGCCGGACCTCTAAATAACTTATCATCCTTATTAGCAGAATGGATGATCTCTGATGTAGATGGTACCTCCATCAAAAGTTTTTTCTTCTCTACGACCACATTAATATCAGTGGTATCTTCCGAAGGTGGCAGGTGAAGATGCATAGAATTCTCAAAGTCCAGGGGCAATGGAGCAGAATCTAGGGGAAAAAAAAACATTATCAATTCCAAAAAAAAAAATACCTCAACAATTGCAACTAATAGAATAAAACTTCAAAAGCTGAGTGGCCAAGGAAAAGAATCCGAATTTGGAAATAAATGAATAAATTTCCATTTCACCACAAATTACAACCTCCATAATTGGAAGTAATATAAACAGTTTAGGAAATGGAAAGTTACCAAATTCCTTTTGTGCTAATTTATTCCTAGATAAGGCATCCAAAGGTGACTCTTCAGCAGTTTGCTGGTCTGCAATTGAAGTGTCTTGAACTTTCTCAATGACATTAGAGTCCATGCCTAAACTAACTCTGCCAAAATCAGTGCATGTCACTGAGGACTTCATATCTTCAAAGGCATCAACTTGAGCCATATGAACTTCGGTCGAATCAACAGCTGATTTACCTTCCTTACAAGTAAAGGGTGAGGACACAGTCTTAGCTTCAAGCACAACAGAAAGTAGAGAAGCTTCATCCGGCTCTATATCTTTATCAGCATCCAATTTCATGTCTTGCCTATCAGCACCCACATCTTTAGCTGTGTTAGCCTCAACAACATACACATTCTTCTCACGGTTGATACTCGGCAGAAGAACATTCATCCTGTCCTGATCACCAGTTTCCGAGACTTGAATTTCATAATTAACTTGAATAGCAGCATTTGCTTCTATTAGCAATCTGGAAGCACAAGCATCAGTAATGTTAGCATCTGTCATCTGGCCTTCAGAATATTGCTTGTTTCTTAAGTCATCCAAACACGTAACAAGTTTTTGTCCTCTAACATCATTAGACATAGTTTTTTTCTCATTTTGTGTACTGTAGACATCATCATCCTCCATGGAATCATCTGGTGGTCCCCCACTAACACTTCTATGTCCTTCAGCTAACCAAGATGTCTTCTGGATAGCTTTACTACTGAGGTAACCAGACTTGTCCTCAATATTTTTACCTTCATACTTTGCTAATTGGCTTGCGCCATCTTCTTTTTCAATTAATCTATCAATTATCTCAACATCATGAAGTAAAGGCTCGGTTCTGCATGAAATAGACACAAAACCATCAGCATCCTCAGATATTACAGAATCAATACATTTTCTCAGCACCTCCAGAGCATCTGATTTTGGCACCAATTGATTATTTGTTTCAATACTGTGGATAATCATAGAATTTTCTTTATGGCCATCGTCATATAGCAAATCAGACCTACTCCTGACACTTATCAGATTTTGTTCATCAGAGAACCTAGTTGTCTCCATAAGAAGCCTCTCATCTTGATTACTTCTACAGGTAATAGATAAAGGACAATGGCTAGACACTACAGATGAGTTGCAATCATCAATATTTGAAGAATTTGTTCTCTTGAGTACATCAAAAACATGTCCTTTCAAAACAGTCTCACTTAAGACATTTTCAGCCCCTCTTAGTTTTTCAATAGCCTCAGTTGAAGAAGTTGGATTTTCATCTGTTATGTATTGAACACCAGAAATTTTTCCATCGGCACTACTTCCATTTGAGGGATCAAAATTAAAGACAGTTCGGGATTCTTCAAGTTCAGATGCTTGAGATGAACCTTGAAGATGTGTTAGCAAATTCCTTCTGCCTTCACTTGGACTAGATAATTTTTTGAGGCAGTCATCCTTTAAAATTATAACTTTATCAGTAGGAAGGGCACCCATCATGGATGAGTTGAAGGCATCATCCTTTTTGACGAAGAGATCAACCTGATTATCGTTGATTATTTCTTCCTGTCTATTGGCACTAGACTCCATGATGACAGCCTTTTCGTTGATTATTTCATTCTCTCCCACTGATTTCAATAACAAATCAACAGATTCGGAGGATGTTGCCTCAGACCAAACATTGTTATGCCTAGATATTGAGCAAGACTCAGCAGCACTTGAACTGAACTCGACCGCAGTACTTCCAGATGAAAAGTCAATCCAATTATTTTCTTGACTTTGTATGCCAAGTAGAACTTCCGTTTCAACTAAACTACCAAACCTAAGGTGTTCATCAAGATCAAACTTTGGAAGACCAAATGACCTTAAGCTTGTAGAAAATTTGCTGTCTTCTCCAACTAACTGAAAATTTTGGCTTTGAAAATCATTTTCATCATAATCCATGGATGTAGCCCTGAAAATTAAAAAAAACAATAAAATCCAGAGACTCGGGAATTGTTGGGCAAGCCCAAAAGCTGGAAAGCTCTTGTCAATATGTCCTCCATAAGAATCCAAAATTAGAATTAATTTGAGCATGCTAAAGCTTGCAAATGGTATGGCATTTAAATAAAATTGAATAAAAAAACAAAACAGCGTAATGTGCTTTAGAAAAGCAATAAACTCCAGCCAACCATTATAACAATACAAAAGCAACTGTTTAAATTGATACAAAAGACGTCAGTGTTGAGAATCCATTCCAAAAATAAAATTCGCGGTATATGAAACTATGGAGAAAATGAATTGGAAGAGATCCAAGTTATTTAACAATTAATCACTAAAGCTTAAAGATGGAAGGACCCATCAATTCTCTGAACTTTTTCAAACAGATTGCGTGTTATTTTGACACGCAATTTTCAAAAAATGAGCTTACACCTCATACCGCCTCGTGGTTTACTACTCCCCTCACAAAAAAAAACTCTCGAAACCCAACTGTGCAATTTTATATATTATGAACAATTTATGTAGCAATGTGTACAACCCATCAAGAAACCACTAACTCATGTCTTTGTCATTTCATTCATGCCTTGCCCCTTATCCAAAAATTGTGGCCATTTGAGGCTTTGAATGCAACGTTAAAATTTTATCTGTTGAATTATTTTCTGGTCAAATACTTATATCTTCATTGTGAGAAACTAAACTTAGTGAGGCTGACCATACTACAAGGTATTTGATTGCTATCATAGCCATTTTATGGATATGATTTTTCCAGATAAGATAGGTTTCAGAATGAGCACTATTTGCTATTATTCCCCTATTCACTAAACTTTTTTACCTCACAAAAGGAAGAACTACCTAATCACATCAATATGTAAATCAGCATTGAGCTCTAATTTCAAATTACATGATGATAAATCATTCCAACTCTTTATAAAAACGAACATTATGTTATTATAGGCATGAATAGAGGCCTACAAGAACTTCATCAAAGCCAACCATTTTAAACGCCCATTCATTTGATGTAGATCATTAAAGCATTCAAAGGAGAGAGTTAAAAGAATACCTAGATCAAATCTAAGATGAAATGAAATTCATAGAAGACATAAGTTACTAATATTAAACAAATATTCATTACATTCATGAAAACTGAAAAAAAGTTAAAATCCAATTTTAACAAAATATTTAAGACATTCAAGTATCCAAGAAGATATTAAAATTTCACTAAAAAAAGAAAAAAAAACCATTGTTACAATAAATCTAATAAATTCAGTCATACTTTCATCCAATATTTAAAAAAATAATCAAAACGAGGCATTAAAAAGAAGAAAGGTACAAAAGTCGCCAAAAATATAAGTCATGCCAAACAAAGAGCTCTAGCTTCGCCCAAATTTTTAAAATCTCACATTTGATCATGAACCTGAAATGCAATGCAACCTTTTAAGGGAAAATCATTATTGATGAAAACATGCTTCAAGTGCAACACAAAGCAATAAGATTCACGAGCCTCAAACATTGCTTTCCTGGCAAATAAAAGCATGCAGCAAAGCTTGCCACATTGCATTGTAGCTACATCCTTTGCTCTAGCTCAAAATAAAATCCAAGTTCAGATTCACGGTTCAGTTCAACAACTGCTGCAATAACTAAGGCACAGCCATTAGCTTCTCCGAATTGGTTCATCGCCTGCCACTCTCTCGCCAACTAGTTTTCTTCTTGTGCTTCTCATTGATTCCCGATGTTAGCTCTAACTGCTTCTAGCACAAACTTCTTCTCGAGAATACTTCTCAGTGTACCATATGCATGCTTCTCTGAACCTGATTTTCAAACTCTTACTTCACACTGCCTCTGTCTCGCTATTTCTAGTAAGTCTCTCAATCTCACAAGTGTTTATTTTTTATTTTAACTATTAATGTATCGCTTCATTCTTTATTATTTTGCTTCTCTTTCTTAACTTTTAAACACCTAAAATAATTCTTATTGAATTTGAAGTTATATTTGCTAAGAAGACCACATAAACAAAACAAGAATGACAAAAGGAACAACCAAAAAGAAGCACAAAATTAAATATCTATGGGACCAACTAATGAGGTGCAGATGTCAAACCACAAGAACGAAGTGCAAATCAATACAAGGTGTGCACAATGTGGAAGTCGCAGATACTTCATCGCACACACAATATTCTGAATTTGCCAGAATCAAGTAAATTCAGAAGTCACAAAAAATGACATAATTGACAAGTTATAAATTCTGCAACATATTACCTTGAATTTGCTTTACTTGGTATAAAAATTCACATCTTAGAACCCCGACATTTCAAATACAGTACACTAAGTAAATCCAAACAGCTCCTAAGAGAAGGAAAAAAATCAATTATAAACCAATCCCAATCTAAGCAATAAGCCAATAAGAACAATAAAATAAATTAAGGAGAAAAGCAAACCATTGATTGTAATTCAAATAATATGTCTCTAAATGCATGAGATTTTACATAATTTTCATCGCTAAAACTTTAATTGATTTATAAAACTAAAATTACTAAAGACCAGTTATATATCAAATGAATAGAGAATGATCAAATAGGATTGAATAAGAAAAGCAGCCAAACCATCTATTCCTTATCTCTCTATTCTCCATTCAAGTGGGAAGTATCTAATTAGCAAAATTATCACATCCCACATCATTTTCCTCCCACGATACACAATTGATTTTCCTTCCCTTGTAAACAATGATACCACGAGAATCACTAACCATCTTAAATGAGGAAAACGAAATACAAGTTTTCATTACATTCAACATCAAAACAGAAGATGGACAACCTCTCCCACCTTAATTCTCGCTCTTCCTCCCTCTTTCCCTCTTTTCTATCTTATTGTGCACCGATTAGCTCTCTCTTCCAACAAACATATTGACCAAACCAAAAGTAACATGGCTAAACCAACAATAACACTAACTTGATCACAAACCAGCAGATTTTTCTCCAAGATTAAACAGCCTCCTAATCTGCCACATTCGAGATAAGTGTAGTAAAACCTTTAGGTAATGAAACTTTGAAATACCATCCTCTCTATCCCACCCTCTTAGAAACTCATAAAGAGAGGGATGGCCCTCTGTAACAGAGTAGGACGATGAAAATGTAAAAAACAATGTAAGTAGTACAATCCAAGATATAACTCCCACATAAAACCTTTAGCAAAGTGGTTATCCCGTGATTCAATAAATCCACTTTGTTACATCATGGCATACTTGGATATCCATGAGTTAAAAGTGCTGCAAGCGATGAAATTTATAAATCTCCTTTTTACGTTGTCAATCATGTTCAACCAATCAAAGCCAACCAACTGGAACCAATCAAGTGTCTACGTATAAAACAATGCCCACTACTAAAAGGAAATGAAGAAATCATACCATATTGTAGGGCATACCAAAGTTAAATGGACATAACAATGACGAAGTATAGAAGCTATCACTAATGTTTCATACCAAAAGGCCAAAATTTTCACTGTGATAGCAAATACTTGGAAACAAATTAAATAATATATCATAGATAAATCATACAACAAGCAACTTCAAGCATGCAACTTCTGCTTGATGCTTAAAAAAAAACCAGCAAAAGCATGAAGTTGCTTCATTTATAGACATGGGAGTTCAAATCAAGAAATAAATTTGAATCATTCATGATGCAGCTCATGTTGAATGAAAATAATGACTTGCAAAAAAACAGAATACTCAAAAATACAATTTGAGTGAAAAAACAACCTACCCTGACCCCCAAACAGTTTGCATGCCGGAGCTTACAAGAAATACTAAATTTAGGCCTTAACTAACCCACTTTGTATCAGTAAATTTGTATGTAAAAATTTAAATTTCAAAGATGTGCAATTTGAAATTTCACTTCACTTTATTTTAGTTCATTCAATCAATTCTATCTAGTACCCTTTCGCAAGCCTCTCTTTCTTCTACATACATACATACATACATACATACATACATACATACATACATAGTATTAAAAACCCCACTTGTGCAAACTCAATGACATAGAACTGCCTCAGAAAATTTGCTAGACAATAATCAGTTCATAGAGTCCCGTAAATTTGAAATCAACTTTTAAAAAAAATAGCATTACAGGGAAATAAATAAAATTCTAAAAAAAAATAGCATTACAGGGAAATAATTAAAATTCTTAAAAAAAACACACTTAAGAAATCGACCTTAACAACCCATAGGCAACAGTTTAAACCCACGCCCCACCAGAAACAAGAAACGGCGAAATTAATCCGTTTTATAGAACAACAATATAGGATGTACAAAATTTGATTATCAAGTTGCGGTTCTCGATGATAACCCGCCAGTTGAAATTTGAAACCACAGCTAATAGTCATTTCAAATGTTGCCCGCACCAATTTTTCAGATCCACATGCCAAAACATACTCATCAAACCAAGGAATTTTCTAGCAAAATTCGTCCAACCACAATCCCAGCAAACTCCACGAGATCAAAGGCTAAAGTGCCGAACCCAAGAAAAAGAACTGTAACCCAAATTCCAAATAAGCATCAACAAGTTATCAGTAAAACTATCACCCAAAACCATCACTAAACCCTAACAGTTTCATCCCGTCTAGAGAACCTAACAGCTTCAAAAAAAAGAGGAACTCAAACAAGTCCCCGTCCCACTTCTTGCAACTCAAAAAAAGCCAAAGGAAACCCTAATTTAATCAGCCAAGCAGCAGAAGCGAGAAAGTACCAGACTAATCGTACCTATAGTACCGCTTCCCTCCATCCGGGGACCCAATCGTGGCCTTTGACGGACAATAACCCAAATTCAGAGTAAATCACCAACCCCAAGCGTCGCTTGTCATCTCTTCGTGCCTCACCGGAAAGAAAGCCCTAAATCCGGCGCTCCTTGTCATGGAAACCTAAGTGGCCGGGTACAGGATTTAGGAACTGCTGCGCCGTCCTAGCTCCGACAATTCTCCGGCAGATCGGCAGTTGTGCGGTGGACGAAGGAGAGCAATTAGTTCTGCCCTCTCACTCCTTCGATTTCGTTTCGGTTGTTGGCACACTTCGAATCGGGGATGAATTTGATGGACGGCCACTTCGCCCAGTAGACTCGTATGGGCCCCGGATAGAAATTGGAATGGGAATTTGAATTAATCCCCAACTTTACAGAGATTTACAGTTTTACCCTTCCTGCTTCCTGCCAACTGGGGGATCGAGCGTTAGCCGCCACTACGGCTGTCAACAAAGCTCGTGTTCGGCTCTTAAGTAGCTCGTTTTCGAATGAATAAGTTTTTAAAGCTCGAATTATAAACGAGCTGCACTCGAACAGCTCTTTATTCGCTCATGTCCAGCTCGTTTTAGCTCAAAACAAAAAAAAATTATATAATTATTTATATAATAATATATTACACATATTATTTACATAATAATATATTATATATATTTATATCCATGTTTAAATCGTAACTGCTCTTGTGGTAATGTGGTTATGCGATTTGTTTTGCATATATTTGATATAGGTGATCCCACACTTTACATCTATTTTTCTCAATTTTAGTTTAACAAGTCGAACACGAGCCGAACACGAACACGAATATAGAAATCAAGTCGAACACGAACACACTGTTCACGAGCCGGTTTCGAACAAGAGCCGATTTTGAACACGAGCAATTTCGAACGAGTCGAACATGAGCCAAGTCTGAGCTCGCTCAAGCTCAGCTCTTTTACAGCCCTAGCCGCCACACAGGTCGGATGGGAGGGGACATCTTCATTGGATGGAAAAAAATATTGGATGAGCAGAATTTAATTAAAAAACATTTTATTGATTAAAAAAAAACTTTACAAATATTTAAAATAAATTAATTATTTTGTTAAGGAAATTAATTATGATAAAGTTTCGGGGCATTTACATAACTAGCCATAATTCTTATATATTGATTTATCCAACACCTTTTTTTTTATTTGCGTATTTAAACACAATTTTTTAACATTGCATTACCGAATATTATTTTTTACTAATTTTTTACAAAAATTAAGTGCATTTTTTCATGAATAGGTTAATGAGTGTTATAAGTTTAAATAAAATTTTGAGAAATTAGCTTACAAGCCACATAATTTTTATATTTTATTATATATATAGGGATACCACTAATATTAATTATAATAAACGTGCCAAAAGTAGATAAGAAAGATAAATGGAAAATATGTCATGCAATGAGTATTTAATTTATAATGCGTAAACCAACACCTCCATAAATAAAGGTAGAAGTGTGACCAAGCCGAGCTCAAGTGAGCCCAGAACTTATTCGTGTTGAACTCAATCCATATTTTTTTATTCAAAATGAGCCTATGTTCAAAATTGCTCATGAATAATATGGTCATATTTAGCTCGTGCTCGACTGTTGAGTGTGGAGCCCGATTAGAATATAAAATATATATATATGCTTGTTGCCACTTCTGTAACTTGTAACTACTCCCGCCTATTTGCTTTTTCTTATGGAAAGTGGGTCCCGCCACCATTAAAGAAGGAGAAAATTACATTTGATAAAAAGTGCAACTTGCAGGTGTGGTTATTCTTACGTGGTTTTCTTCTTCACGTACTATATACTGGAATTAAATATTCTTGGCTTCCATGATAGAACTTCAAGTGTGAAGAAAAGCAAAGTTCGGCTCTCCCTCTGTCTTCTTCTGTTCTGCGTTGGTTTGCTGGTGAAGGAAGTATCGCAAAGCACAGGGAAGAAAATTTACGGGCCGAAGGATACAAATCAGGTAGCAGCAGTTTTTTGCGATTTGTTTTTTTTTCGGTCTTCTGTGAGACGCAAGAAAGAAAAGCTCCCTTTATTGTTGCTTCTTGGTGATCGGGTTGAAGCTTGCGTGCGATATATCTACAGTAGAATCGCAAGGTGTGCTCTTCGGTGTATCTCGGTGTAGAGAGAAGAAGAGAGAGTGAGAAAGTGAGAGACTTTCTCCTGTAATTATCGTTGTGATCAAACGGTGTAAATTCCTCAATTAGTAAAATCTTCTGCAACTCCGTGGATGTAGGCAATTTGCCGAACCACGTAAATCTGTGTGTTCTTTTCTGGTGTGATTTTTTCTTGTGTCATTCTTATTTCTCACTTCGTCTTCGATCGTTTTAAATTTCAAAGTTACCACAACAACTGGTATCAGAGCCAATGGCTACAGACGAAGTGAAGATTTCAGGGATTGAGAAATTGGATGGCACAGATTTTGGTTATTGGAGGATGCAGATAGAGGACTACCTCTATGGGAAGAAACTTCATCTTCCGTTATTGGGGAAAAGACCTGAAAGAATGGATGAGACTGAATGGAATTTGTTGGATCGACAGGTTTTGGGGGTTATTCGATTGACCCTATCGAGGTCCGTTGCACACAATGTCGTCAAGGAGAGGACGACTGCAGATCTTATGACAGCCCTGTCAGGTATGTATGAAAAGCCGTCGGCGAATAACAAAGTATATTTGATGAAGAAGTTATTCAATTTGAAGATGGCGGAAGGTACGTCTGTTGTACAACACCTGAATGATTTCAATACCATCACAAATCAATTATCATCTGTGGAAATTGAATTTGATGATGAGATACGTGCACTGATCTTGTTGGCTTCATTGCCAAATAGCTGGGAAGCTATGAGGATGGCTGTCAGTAATTCTGCAGGTAAATCTAAACTGAAATTTGAAGATATTCGTGATTTGATTTTGGCTCAGGAGGTGCGCAGAAAAGATTCTGGCGAAATCTCAGGTTCGAGTTCGACACTAAATGTTGATTCCAGAGGGAGATCACTTGATAGGAACTCAAACAGGCGAAGATCAAAATCAAAGAACAGAAACAGGAGCAAG